TTTTTTTTTTTAGGTTTTTCGAGACAGGGTTTCTCTGTGTAGTCCTGGCTGCCCTGGAACTCACTCTATAGACCAGGCTGGCCTCGAACTCAGAAATACGCCTGCCTCTGCCTCCCAAGTGCTGGGATTAAAGGCGAGCGCCACCACTGCCTGGCTTTTTTTTTTTTTTAAGGATTTATTTTTTCAATGTGCATTGATTTTTTTTTTTTTTTTGCCTGCGTGTATGCATGTGTAAAGGTGTGAGATCCTCTAGAACTAGGGTTGCAGACAACTTTGAGCTGCCAGGTGGGTGCTGAGAATTGAAGTAAGTAGCCAGTGTTCTAACCACTGAGCCATCTCTTCAGCCCTTTTCAAATATGTGTGTGTGTAATATTTTTGTTTTTGTTTTTTTGTTTTGTTTTTGTTTTGTTTTGGTTTGGTTTGGTTTGGTTTGGTTTGGTTTGGTTTGGTTTGGTTTGGTTTTATTGGAGACAGGGTTTCTCTGTGTAGTCCTGGCTGTCCTGGAACTCACTCTGTAGACTAGGCTGGCCTCAAACTCAGAAATCCACCTGCCTCTGCCTCCCGAGTGCTGGGATAAAAGGCGTGTGCCACCACTGCTGGGCAATATATAATCTTTTTAAAAGAGCAAATGATGCTGGGCCTCAGGGCACATGCCTTTAATCCCTTTGGAGGTAGAGGCAGGAGGATCTCTGTGAGTTTGAGAGCAGCCTGTTCTTCATAGTGAGTTCCAGGACAGCTAGGGCCACATCGAGAGACCCTGTCTATAAATAAATATACAAACAAACAAACAAACAAACAAGCAAACAGCTTTAGAAAGAAAACATAACAGTGGGGGTTTGAATAAGAATGTCCATGGCTGGAGAGATGGTTCAGCCTTTAAGAGCACTGGCTGCTCTTTCAGAGGTCCTGAGCTCAATTCCCAGCAACCACATGGTGCCTCACAACCATTTATAATGAGTTCTGATGCCCACTTCTGACATGAAAGTGTACATGCAGATGGAACACTCACATACATAAAAAAGAATATCCCCTGTAGACTCGGATATTTGAATGCTTGATCCCAATTGGTGGTGTTGTATGGGGAGATTCAGAAAGTGTAGACTTGCTGGAGCAAGCATGTTACTGGGGACCCTGGCACTCGCCCTTCCCAGTTCACTGCCTCTGATTCATGTTTGTGGTTCAAGATATGAGCCCTCATCTTTCTCCTGCTGTCACACTGTCATTGCACCAGGGTGGACTCTAACCCTCTGAAACCATAAACACAAACAAATGCTTCTAATAGTTACCTTGGTCACGGTGTTTGATCATAACAATAGAAGAGTAAATAATATGAAGCTAGAGAGATGATCCAGTGGCTGAGAACACTTGTTCTTACAAAGAACCTGGGTTTGGTTCTCAGCAGCCACATGACTGCTCACAGCTGTCAAGAGTTCCAGTTCCAAGCCGGGCAGTGGTGGCGCATGCCTTTAATCCCAGCACTTGGGAGGCAGAGGCAGGTGGATTTCTGAGTTTGAGGCCAGCCTGATCTACAGAGTGAGTTCCAGGACAGCCAGGGCTACACAGAGAAACCCTGTCTCGAAAAGCCAAAAAACAAAAACAAAAACAAAAACAAAAACAAAGAAACAAACAAAAAACCCTAAGTAACACAACAACACTCAAGGGCTACAGAGATGGCTCAGGGACGAGAGATAGAGAGATAGAGAGTTGGAGATAGAGACAGACTTAGGCTAAGAGATGCTTTTGTGCGCTATGTATTCAGATGCTGATTATTGTGTTCAGACATCTGTTTACAGCCTGGACTATGGTATGGTCAAGCATCTCAGGTGTCAATGTTGTGCAAAAACTGTTTTCCATCACTTCTGATTGGTTAGTTAAGACCAGACTAGCCAATTAGTTGGGCAGAAAAGAATAGGGCTGGGCTTCTGATCCTAGTTGAGGGGGGTCACAGCTGAGAGAGAAGGTATGAGGAGACCAAGTGGAGGGACCAGGAAGAGTGTTGATAAGGACACCCATGGATCAGAGCAAGCCAGGGCAAGACTCAGATGAAAAGTAAAAGACCATGTGGCTGGGAAATAGGCATCCTTAGAGGTTAGAATAGCTCAAAACTTGTCCAGCATAGTGTCAGCAGCTTATTAATAAAAATAGCATGTCTCTCTGTCATTTACTCAGGTGCTAAGCCAGGCCAGAGCTTGCCTGTGAGTAGAAATGTCCTGTAGTTATTGGGGAGCAAAGGGACAGAAGAACCACCCCAACCCTATCCTATTACAGTTATGCTGTAAGTGCTATCAACTTTCTTTTTTTTTTTTAAGATTTATTTATTTATTACATATGAATATACTGTAGCTGTCTTCAGACACATCAGAAGAGGGCATCAGATCTCATTACAGATGGTTGTGAGCCTCCATGTGGTTGCTGGGATTTGAACTCAGGACCTCTGGAAGTACAGTCAGTGCTCTTAACCACTGAGCCATCTCTCCAGCCCCCTGCTATCAACTTTCTTACCCAACTAGAGTCTCCTGATATGGTCACTGGGAATGAAAACCAGGTCCAGGTTGTTTATTTACTACAAACAGTCAGACATTTTATACCCCTATCAGAAACAGGAAATCTAGGCTTATATTTTTCAAAACCTACTTTAATAGGAGTTCTTAAACACTTCAAACTCTCTTATAGCACACAGACCAAAGGTAGGGGAGAAATATGGCTAGCAGGACAAGGGGGACATGGACCTGTTTAGCTGTTCCTTGGGATGATTCCAATCTTTGATGCCAATAGTTCAATCCACTCGAATCAGCAGCAGCAGCAGCTCAATCCAGAAGAAACCGATCAGCATGAGTCTGCAGAGGCTGCAGGAAGCATCCAGAACACCTCCAGAAGTTCTTTGGTGTATTTCTTCCCTAAAAAGTCATGACCAAGGAAGATCAACGAAGATAGCAATGCAAACCATTGTCAGAGGGTCAATAACTAAATCTTGAAAGAAAGAAAGAATTTGTGTCATTAGATTGGCTGGCATAGTGTGGTGGCTACTCCTAGTAGTCGACTGGACGATATCTGGAATGAACTGCAATCCAGAATTGGAAGGCTCATGATTGGAAGATCATCCAGATCTTGAGGCTAGAAGACACAGGTTTTTGGACTGGATCTTGACTTGGTGATTTTTTTTTTTTTTTTTTTTTTTG